AACCAAATTCAAGGTTTCTTTTTGTAGAAGAATTTTCTTATCAACCTAGACGAAAGAAGAAAATGTTATTAAATCTGCAAAGCTGTTTGCAAAAGCGTCGGCCTTTTTCAAGATATGCGCTAGTAAATGCATGAGATTTCAATTGACAAAATTTCCTTGAGAGCATTACCTTCTTCCCACAGATCGGCTAAATTATATAAGCATTTTAGCCTACATAATTGTGAAAGGAGGCCCTTTAATAATTTATGCCACTAGCCTTTGCGAAACGCTTTGCAGTGACAGAAAAAAGTTGACAAATGGACAAGCTGTTGATAGTGTGGATAATTACTAATAATTGCTTCTAATGCAAATGCAATAGAATATTGGAGTAGGAGCGAGTGAAGGCTGCTTCAAAGTTATTCAGTTATGCCTCTTGCTGCTTCTGTATTTGCACTACTTCAGCCACAAACTCGTTTTTGTATCAGCTTTTGCTCTGGGTGTTTGTAAGTTTGGCACGCAAGTTGCACTTTGTTGCATAATTTTTTGAGAAAAAAACTCATAGGTTTTTTGTCGCTTAAGCATTTTGCATGATTCTGATTCTATTTGAGGATACGCATCTCACACTTTTCAAAAAATTCTACGCTTTTTCATACCTGAAAGAGTGGAAGAAATAAGTTTGTCTCAGTTTCAGGAATCAGATCGCAAAATCTTATATAGTACAATAAATTCCAAAAAAATCAGTGTTATAATTTTACAAATTATTAGTTTGAACTGAGTTAATTTTGTGCCAACTAATCGTTTTGAATCTGAAACTTGGAAAAAAACTAATGATTCAATTGGAAAAAGTCAATTTGAGTTTTGGGACAATCACTCAACTGACTTTATTACCTATTAAAACAAGAAACTTTCCAAACTCTTCCAGAATTTTTACAGATTGGTGCTATGGATTTAACCTGACAACCTAATATTTTGATTATGCATAAGCCAGTTCCATCTGTCACATATACTCAACACAAATGTATTGTCCTCAAATGACATATTGATGTAGGAAGTATGTTAGCCCAAAAAGCGGTGAAATGCAATGACAAATGGAGTGGGCTTTTCCTAAGCATCATTATGAATGTTCCACAAGAATCTACGAGTTAGGTTGTGTTTTCTGGCCTAGTCCGAAAAATATCTAACACTCATAAATCTTCTTCATATAGTTGGTTACATTCGTATCCATGTGTAAATCATTTTCTAGCATTTTTTTTCCATTTCTCACTGCTTGCTGGGAGTAGCTAGGCCTGTTTCATGCTTTGAGCTCTTTCTTGTCATAATCAAACCTAAATTTCTACGAGTTTTCTTTTCCCACCGGCTTGCGGAGTCTTGGTTGCTCTCGAAAAAAGCTGGATGTCTTTATTTGTCGTCACCCCATGGTTACTCAGAATGAAAAAAGATTTTTTTTGCGCAACTTTGAATGCAGCCAATCAAGTGAAACGAAGCATAGCCCTAACTTGATTTGGTTATTTTTGTTTTCCGGAATTTGCAGCAAGCCTCAATTTTGAACTTGGCTCCATGAGGAACTTTATCGGACTCAAGGCCGCAATTAGAGGGAATCATTTCCGGTCGCTTGGGGGCAGTCTCACACTTTCTTCGTCGGGCCGGATGACAGCTACCTCTTTTCGACCTTTGATCACTGTAATTGTTCGTAATTAGCAGCTTAAGGTGGCGTTTTTGCGTCTCTTTCACACTGTTAGCTCAAGCCATTTTAACTACGAAGTCTGAACTCTCACATGGGCTATCTCTTGTTCAAAAATTAGGAAGGATTTATATGAAATATTCAAGCACTTCTCCTTTGCTAGTGGGACTCTCAGCACTCCATTAACTACACTTTCACTCTAGTCTCACGAAGAATTCGCGATTTGCAAGGCTTGCAAGATCTCCTCTTCAGAAATATGGACCGCTTAGCAGCAGTTCATGCAATGCATGGTTTTCTCACGATACCGCCAAAAAGGCGCAGTTGTCCTCGACCAACCAGGTCATTATCGTTGAGCGAACGAAGAGGTCTAGTCTCACCACAGCGTTACCCAGCTCGGGGTACGGTATCCCCTATTCCTACAAGGACGAGTAAGTCTTGCCAATTAAGAATTTCATATCTTTCATTATGTTTTATACATTCATATACTAGCCATTTCCGTTGTTATTTTTTTTGAATTACAGAAACATGATAAGGATGGGAAAGTGTTCGAGCAGTTCTCTTCCTCTTTTTCAACAGTCTCTATAGAACGGTTACTTTTCCAGTTTTGTGGTCGAAGTAGTTGTCAAAGTTCTATGAAGTTTGGTTTGGCTGGACTTCGATGGCTTTGAAAAATAATTTTAGAGAATTTGCGAAACCAGTTAGAGGTACCTAAACTATGCATTAAGTTGCGCTTTCTTTACTCTATTCATCAGTCATAGTATTTCCATAAGTCAGGAATGAAAATTTTGAAAACATGCCTCATATAAACAAAAGGCACGTATTGGTTTCGGCGATTTTTTGGTGACTACAAAGTAAAAGGGTAATTGGTTTAGGTTATTGCTAAAAAGAGGAAGAAAAGCTACGTCGAACATTTTTGAATCTTTGCCTATCTTTATTTAACTTGTTTTGATGGTACGAAAAACGGAAAGTATTTTCGAACCGATATATATAAAAAATCCCTTTCTCCTAGAACATCTAAAATCCAACATCCGCTATTTAGTATTATGCATTTGCTGCTCAACGTACATACTTGTATTCATCTAAGCAAACCCTTGTTCAACTCAAATTGTTCTTATCTACTTGGATGACTCTTGTACCCTAGCCTGTCCCCTTCTTTTTCTCACATGACGCAGACATAACCCTAAAGAAGCTGAGAACATCGTAGTCCTGCTTTGCGAGAAGAAAAGAGCACGCGAAGCGTACGACTCTATTACATGTTCATAAAATTGGCTCTTGTTATATAATGCTTAGAAACAGTTAGTTCATAAGCTGAATAAATTCAGAAATTTGCTGAGTCAACAGAAAAAAAATAAAATAACAAAATAGCAAAATAGATACAACCTATACAATTTTATAATGTTGAACATCTGTTTTCAAATCAATTTCAAGCTTGGGTTTGAATTTTGCAATTTTTATTAAATTAAATCGACCATGTTGTATCACTAAAAACACTTTTCTAATCAATTAACTGTAGAGCCCTTCTTAATCGTCCGATAATTCTAGCGAAATGAATTTTCGACTTTGCGAGAGTTCGCGTTAAAAATATTGCTAAAGCTGAGCTTACAAATGATTTTGACTGTCAAAAATACTTCAACGCTGTTTGTGCAACAAAGAGTTTTCCTAATAAAAATGATATTTAATACACATCACGTATGCATGAGTCTGCCGGTTTTTTTGGTAATGAAATTCACTCAGAAAACATCTGATGACAAAATGATGAAATTGTAATGTACTGAAGAACTTACGAAAGTTACGACAATTCACAAAACAAAATTGTTAAAGTTTATGAAAATCATAAGTGTGAAAATGAAGACAGAGCTTGCTTCAAACTTTTCATTCTGAAATATGGCTTTACGATTTCTTCGGCTCAAAGAGGCTTCGATTTACTGAAGTGAAAGGGAAAGGTGCCTCGAATGGAATGAAAATTTGCCACGAATGCTAAACATTTCAAACACATGTCAAATTTCGTCATTTTTCACACAGATATCAACTGACTAATTGGGAAAAAGCTACCAAATATGCTTTTGCACTTCCCATGCTACAATGCTCACAAAATGGCAATGACTTTATATTAGGTTGGAAACTAAGTTTTGCAACTGGTCTCATAACTTCCCCCTCACTCAACATGGCGCACTCAAATTTTGCCACTGCGTTGGTTATTACGTAAGCTACAAGCGCAGCTGCTGTCCTACCAAATTCTGACGTCGCAGTGAGGGTTACGGTAGGTGCATGGTATGAAGGGGAAAAATTTAAAGTTTGACGGATTTGGCTGAAACTTGGTATAGGGGTGTTATCCGACATGCTGATTACGAAAATGATGGTGAAATTGCGTGATAAGGGCTTTTTTGCAAGATTAGTGTAGGTGTACCATATGGGGTCTCACCCTAAACAAGGAAAAAGGCGTTGATTCCACAAATGAATGTGATATTCGCGTTTGGCAGGTCAATTAACCTTACTGTGTAGAGTCTCGGCGGAATTTAAGCTTTGGACTCTTTAGTCATTGACGGTCGTCCCCAGCAGCTCTTGCGTACATCGACTCGTTCGACTTTATGAGGACGCCAAATCTCGACATGCCCCCGAATTTTGTTTTTTTTTTAACAGGCCAAAGGAGTCAACCTCCAGCAATAATTTGTAGACGAATCCGGATTACTGCGCATGGTCCAGGCTGCCAAAGGCTTCATTTTAGCTTGAAACCCCAAAAATTCTCAAATTTTACTGGTTTTCGAAAAACGCCTGAAACTTTTCCATTTCGTGTTCAAAATTTAGACAATTTGTGCTCACTTGTAGCTCACTGCCTTCTACATAATGCCAAAGTTTGAGTGCGCCATATCCAAAGAGATAAAGTTATGAAACCAGTTGCAAAACTTAGTTTCCAGCCTAATGAATAAATGAAACATCCTTCTTATGCTGAGCTTCTAATTAGGAGGTACTTTGGATGTTACACCAGAAAAACAACAAGACACAGCTTATTCAGTCATCTTGAAAGGTCATTTCCCAGACTTCTAGTATAAAGCCCACATGAATTGGCTGCTTTTTGTACTCTTTCGTAAGAAGTGTGTGTGTCACGCCATGCATATAACATTTTGCCCGTAGTCTAATAAGTTCCATTCTTGTCCTGTGACTCATTAGCAAACATGGCATACTACATTTCATCGCTTCTCAGCAGTGAGTTTTTCCAAAATTTCAAAATGTATCAAAATTAGGGATGTTGGGTTGGTACAATTGGTAGCTAAATGACATCCATCCCAAAATTGGAAGGAAAACAATGGAAGTTTCACTTCATAATCCGAACATTTTTCAGGGCATTCCATGAAAAAGCTCCACGACATGACACTTGTGATGCAGGTCAGCTTCAAGAAATTTATTTTCTGTATTCCTGTTAGTAAACCTTCCCATTCTAGGTGATGGACTATGACCGATTCTCTTCCGACGATCCCATCGGTGAAATTCTCCTTCCCATGAAGAGCGTAAAGTTTGAGAACAGCCCCGTGTACTGGAAACACCTACAAAGGCCAACGATCTCTAGGGTACGAGAACTTTACAATATATATACAAAGCATTTGATCGATGTTCTTGCTTCAGGAACAATGCGGAGAGTTGATGCTGTCACTGTGTTATCTTCCAGAAGTGAATAAGATTACGGTCAGTGTGATCAAGGCAAGAGACTTAGCTGCTAAGGACAAGATGGGTAGCTCTGGTAAGTTTCTAGGTTTCTTCTACTTCATCATATCATTATTTTGGCATCAGAGAGGAAAACTCTAAACTCTAGTGGTTCTGGTGGTCCTTTCGAACCTGCAGCTTATGTATTTTCTAACTTTTTCGAATAAGAAAAAAATTCTCATCTTGCTCAGGCGTTTTTAACTGAGCCTGAGCTAATAAAGTATCCAGTTTTACTTTATTTTTATGTGTTTCCTTGCTCTATTTCCACAACGAATCAGTACATTCGTATTTACTTATTGTTAGTTCCAAAAGATTGACAAGGCTATTTATTCACCTATGTAAGTTTCAAACCAACCCCACGAATGATCTCGAGTCCTATAACTTTTGATGAGCGAAGTTTACACTGTATACGACTAATATTTTTAGCTAATGCCTACGACGATAGTTAGTCGGCGCTTGCTAATTATACAATTGGGCAAAATCTAGTATGAAAAATAAGGCTGAAACTGCATTCAAATGATCAACTGCAGTAAGAAACGCATGGTATCCAGAAGTTGCCAAACTCATTAATTCACTTTCTTTTCCTTCAACTGAAATTCTTACTTGTTTTCTATGATAAAGTAATTTTGCAATTTTCCTTGGACTATTTTTTCCTTATTTCGCGGATTTTATTCCCTAAATTGAAGAGCTTGAACGTGACTATGAGCCATTCTAGGACATACAATCTGCAAGGAATAGTAAAATAAAACAATTCTCAAAATCCATATTTCTTGTTTCAAAAAAATCTTTGTTAACTCAAGCCTGTTTGCTTTGCATGTACTTGTCATGCTTGATTCTTGCAAACAACTAATTAAGAAATGGAATCAACTCACAGAAAGAGATATTTATAAGTGGTACATTTGCCGTAGTAAAGACCTCAAAATTTGCTAAAGAAATTTAGAACGTCCAATTTTTAGAGAAAGATAAAGAAAGCAAAACAGATTCAATAGTTTGATTTGTGGTATTCAGATCCGTACGTCAAGCTGTGGCTAGTCCAACAAGGAAATAAACTGGAAAAACGCAAAACCACGGTGAAACCACAGACATTAGCACCTCTTTACAATGAGTCATTCGCCTTCACAGTCCCGGCAAAGGAGGTTCTTGAGAAGGAAGTCAATCTTGTCGTTACGGTAAGTAATATTTAAATTTGTTGTTTACTCATTCACCCATGCAAATATCGCAGGTTATGGATTACGACCTCTTATCAAGCAATGACGAAATCGGACACGCAATCATCGGTCCATTAGGAGGAGAGGCAGGCGCCCGTCACTGGAAGGAAGTGATAGATCACCCAGAAACTCCGCTAGCCTTATGGCATCGGTTATCCCCGCGATGGTAATAGAACATGTATGTTTCTGCCTAACTGACATTACATGAGCAGATAACTTTGTTGAAGTGAATGCATTCAAAATTTTGGATGTGGAGTTACTCGGGAATAATACGCCCGCTAGGAGAGTTGATAAACCTCAAAACTGCTTGATGACATAGAAATGTAGCAAAAGCTGTTGCCCAGTTGAATATGTAAATACTTATCAAATAACAAGAGCGCAATAAATCTTTTCTGTTCCATCCTTATGTCTCCATCTAAGGTTCTTGTGTGAAAACAGGAGACAATCAAACGTTACGGTCGGATCATTCTTATACGTTTAGGGACAAACTAAAATCGAATGCACGAAATTGCCCATGTCAGTGTAGGCTGAACTCATGCGAGCGTGCCTGCAACGCGGCTGCCGAATGCTGGTGTTATGATGACTCATGCACGCGAATGCGAATGTTAGCTTCCGAGAGGCCCGCTCACGGGTGTTGAGCCTTAGATTTCGGGTAGACCATTATATCTGTAATGTAACAGAGCACCAGGAGATTCGAGAGCACAACCGCATGCCTAATGTGCTATGTTTCATTTATCTTAATTACTAGCTCGTAAAAACGCTCCAGGAATTCCCAAAAAGAAGATTCATATCTTCCTGTAATTCACTGCTATATATTTACAACATGCAAACTTTTACTGAGTCCATGGCAGTTCAGACAAGGAGGTAGGTATACTTGAAAATAGCTACAATACCATCGGTCCGCCTTTATAATTTCCGAAATAAACACGATGTCGCGTTGAAAGCGCCGTAACCTCATAACTCCCTTGAAAATCATTTTCAAGCAAAGGCAAATAAATATTCGGGATCAACGTCCTTAATTATCTGAAATTAGAATTTTATCTCTGGAAACCCAAAGTTTTCTATTGTGCCGACGGCGTCACAGCAAACGTCCACGCTTCCTGGGTTTTTAGGCTCATAATTCGCTGCATGGCTGGCAATCCAATAGATTTGCTGGTAATAAATCATCAAATAAGTTGTAAAAGTCTTCCTTCTTTTTTCATAATGTTCTGGCGGTCTAGAGAATTTTTATTTGTATCATTCAAGCTTTTTTCTCCCCTTTCTGTAGAGGAAACTCAGACTTTCACCGGTCCTGCAGTGTTTGGGTTCGGTACCCCTTTGCGTTTTTCATCAATAATCGTAACAATCTCAACAAATTGTTCACTTTTTTGTGTTCATGCAAGCAATCGCCAACAGAAATGCAGAATTTTTTCTCGTCAACAAGATGAAAATTAGATATACAGCTTGGTCCAGCTTGGTCGCGCTCAAATGTCAGAAAAGTATACAATGTTACTAAATGCCTCTCTTCTTTCTCGAAACCATATAAGATTTCCTTTATCAATGATACCGCAAAAGTTTTACAAAACAATTTTCCAGATTTTATCCGTCAAACCTCCCCTTAAACTTTGTCGAAGTTTGAAAGTCTCACAATTTCGAATCATAGTGATAGAAGAGTGATGCATCAAGAAAGTCAATTATAGGGTGCGTCAAAAGTTTTGGAACTGACTTTGCACTGCTGTAGATTACAAAAATACTTATGATTTGATTCCGACTTTTGTCACATGATGCTGCGATCATTCTCTACGAAATGCAATTTACCTAGTAAAACTAGCTCCATTATATTTCTAGGGAATGGAATTATTTAACTAGTACTTTTGCAGACCGAAAAATCAAATTTTTCAGTATTCACAATTTATTTTTTAGAATAAGATATTGTTAACATTTACAACATTTTAAAGCACACAATGTAGAGGATGCTTCGCGCTATCACATCTTAGTAGTCGCCTTGCCAAAACCGATACTCCATGGCCTAGTTAAACAATTCTGAAAAATTTATGCCGCTCGCGTTCAATTTCCCAACCTTAAAAACGTACGGTACTGCTGTGGAAAGAGTTGCGATCAGAAGCAAGTACAGTACCATAACTCGTATTTGAGCGCGTGTCGCTATCTTTGAGTGCAGCTGCAGCTTTGAAGTCGACAGGCTTCTTATTTAGATTGTTTGAAAACTAGGCAATTTTTCTTCGTTCGCGGAAAAACGGCAGCAGAAAAAAATGTCTTTGGTATACACCAAGCTGGTACCACAACGGGTATAACTGTTTATTAGATAGTAGCGGAGCAGCCGCTGACTATTAACAGTGAATATGCGGAACAGCCGCTGACGATAATGGTAATAATCGAACCAACCCCAGAACTGAGTATCAGGTCCTTTTATGCCACTATTTTGGGCGTGGATAACCTGAATGCTCACTTCTGGCAAATAACGGTATCATACAGAATCAAGGATTGCCTACATGAAAGTAGGCGCCGCCAAGTAGACTATCAAGCACAGTGGAGGGTGACCTGGCGGCTTAAGTGGTCAGTGAAAAGTAATGTTTGTCAACGACAAGCTAGTGAATACAGAATATAGCATAGAATGTGACTCTACAATGATAAAGGTCGTAGATTCGCAAATAATCTACGACAATGTCCGTAGAAAAAAATTCTTTTTTATGATTAGTAAATAACAGGTTTTGATACACATAAAAACCAAAAGTAACATCAAAAAGCTCTTAATTCTCCCCTACAAATCTGAAAATTCTACGTTAAAATTCAACGAAGATCACCTGAAGAAGTGAAGGGAAGGTCATCTGGTCGAAGTGGCGGATGGGAAGATGAGTCGCCGACTCGAGGTTTTGAGGCGGAAGTGTTGTTGTCCTCAACTGCTGAGGCAACATTACCTCTCTATGGAGAGTTAACGTCGCCTCAGCAATCGAGGACAATGTCGAAAGGTAAAATAGAATCCAAAGCTGAGTAACGAGAATTTTACATGAAATACAGGACACCGCCACCAGCACCGTTATTACACCGAAGAGGTGATGGAGCGCGAAGCGCCAGAAGCAATACCTATCGGCACGGTAGATTTCCAGGCGCCAGTGCGCAAGCTCGCAGCTACTCAGATAATCGCCGGGGGCAGGCGGTCCGCAAACTCGCGCTTTTCTGCGGGCGGTCAGCAGAATTTTGGGGCGTGGCCAAACCTTCAGCGGGCGGTACTTCCGCTTTCTGCCAGCGGGCAGCAATACAGAATTTTCTGCGAGCGCTCGTCAAATAATATCTTCCAGCGAGCGCTGGCCAAACTTTCAGCAAGCGCTCGTACTCTTTTTAGGTATTTTCGGGCGTACGTCGAGCACAGGTAAGACTCTGTGTGGTAGAGGTGTCACCGTTGGTTTAATTACTCAAGTTTGAGGTACTTTCTCTCAGCGGAAAGTACCTTGGGGTTGCGCGGTCCTCCACAAAGGACCGTGCGGCCCTCAAAAATTTTGCATATTCTCGCGGAAAGTCCGCGAGAATGCGGCCACTGCGCCGCAGCTAATCCATAAAGAAACCGCGATTGTTCTTCAAGCATTCTTCTTTGATTTTGCCAACTTTCTTCCAAATTTCTGCAAGCGGGCCGCAAAAAATCAACGAACTATTTTTCCGGTGCGCGCTTGCTCAAAATTCGCATGGCCGCCTGCCCCCGGCGGTTTTCTGAGTAAGTGCATATCGCTGGTGCCCAAGCGCCGCCCCCGAAAGATGGGAATGGAAGGGAAGGCTCCCTCAAGATAATAGCCGAGAATAGAAGAGAGGACAATGTTGAAGCGTAGTGTAAACAGATATCGTTATTTTTATGTATTTTTTAGACTTAGTTACATTTTTTGCATTGTAACATAAAGCGGAAGTGTTATTATTTTTTTGTGTTGTAGAATAGAATCTTTATGAGAGGTGAGGCTGATTTGCTCAGACTATTTGTGTATTCCTTTTATAAGGCACACAGATTGCCCGAAGGGCAGGTAACTCTCACCTTCTTTTTTTGCTTTTTCTTTTTTTGTAAAATAAAAATAAAGCATAGCGTCTGCGTATGAATTCGTGTTTGAATCCATCCGGACCCATTGCACACATACCGGGAACATGTCATGGCATTTTATTGATTGATGTCGTTTCACTGATCCAGACTCTTTGCTGCAGGAGGAGGTCTTTGTTTATCAACACGGAAAATACTCTATGCAATTAAATGTCCCTCGTGAGTGGCCATGCGTGAAGGCTCATTTACTTTTTGAGGTGCTCAATCTACGTGGCCTACCTTGCAGCGAATGTTACATGACATCAAAGCCCTCTCTCCGCTTCACCCCCTCCCGGCAATTCACAGTATTTCCCTCCCTCCCCTGGTATTGCTATATAAGGCGGCTCTCCACGCCTTCAGTCTCCAAGTATGTATGAGCTGAGGGTGACTGATAAGAGAATTAAGGAGTAAGAAAGAACCTTGAAACTTTTTGGAGAGACACCCGAATCATCTGAAACTCAGCTGGGGTTCGCTTAAATCTCAGTGGGGTTCCAGGATACAAGACGCAAGGTGCCGCCGAAGAGGCGTGCATTTGTTGGCAGTATAGGCCTTAAAACGAGGAGGATCCGAGATCAAAGACGGGGTGAGACCTCACAGCAGCAACAAGATCGACTTGCGTGCCAGAATAGCCGAACCAAGAGCAACGCAAACGTTGGAACAGCGTTGAACAAGTCCGTGAGAAACTCGCCTAAGATTATCTGTGACTATCTGCTTTCCGCCACAGAATTTCGAGAAAACCGCAGCCCCCAAGTTGAAGACGACAGAGTGAAACAGCTGAAACCAGGTCAAAAGACGGCAGAACAGCACATATATCAAAAATAGCAACAGCGCAAGCAAAGACAATCGATTGAGACATTGGCCCGTAGTAAAGCTGCCTCATCCGATCTCACGAGGGAAGGATAGTTGGTGACCGTGGCCTTTTGCAATGAGTTGTATACCAATAGGTGGGCCTTGGAACGCTGATTTTAAATCTATGTTCATTATCTGCTGTGCGACTCCCTGAACAAATGATTTTGCGGGATTTAGGTAGTTGAAATCATCAGTATCCAGCTTCTTTAGCCTCTGATGTATCGGTGACAGTTTTCCTGAGCTTAACGTGGAGCTTTACTTTATTTGTACCTTCTCTTGTAGTGCGTAATAGAACATTTTAGCGATATTGGTGAATCCTGCATGAAAAAAATGCAAAATTTTGGTGACAAGAAATGCCCATAACTTC